GCCCCCCTTCGTGGTACTTTTTATAGTCTGTAGTTATCTGCCTTGTGTCCCACAAGAAGCTTCACAAGGGCTGAGATCTAGCATCTCTTATTCATTGCCGGGTCTCCAAATCTAGTACAGACGGTATGAGGCAAATAGCAGGTGTTGAATAAATATTTGCCACTGAATGAAGAATGAGCAAATTCACTACCTGATTTTTAAGCAGGTAGCCATATTTCCCTACGAGAGGCCACAGAGCTCTTCCTGTTCTGTTTGCCTTAGAGTCTTTATCCAGAAAGCATTTTTATGAGCACTGCTTGAGTCAGTATAGACCCATTCCTACCTTGTATATTCATTATTTCAGTATTTAAAAGCTAAATCTATAGTACATAATGGTAATTGATGTTCATTAAGATGCCAGAAATTATTAAAAATCAAATTAAAGTCAAATTAAGTTCTTAAGATAAGTATAAGGCACACTTGTCCATCTAAATAGGAAAGACCTTCAGAACTTAGGAGCTAACCTTCAACTTTTTGAAAAGTTTCCCAGGAAGACTCATTTTGAACATGTTCTACAACGTTGCTTTAAAAAAAGTTGTTTGTTTTTTTTTAAAATTATGGACAATTTAAAACATATATATAAGGAGGCTTCAAAAAATCTTCATACCATTGTCGTATCTCAAACAATAACTTCTTAACATTTTCAAAGTATCCAGTCATGTGAAAATATCCCCTGTCATTTCATAAAGGTCTCTCTGTGGCTGTTTTTGTTTGAATCAGGATCCAAACCAGGTCAACATATTGCATTTGGGTCATCTCTTAAATTTCTTTTAATTTATAATAGTTTCTCCTTCCCTCTTTTTTTCCACTTGGCCAGTTTTTTTAATTAAAGAAACCAGATCATTTGTCCTGTGATATTTTTCATATTCTCGATTTTGCTGATTGCATCCCCATGGTGGCATTTAACAAGTTTAAATCTATTCCTTGTATTTCCTATAAACTGATAATTAGAGCTGGAGGCTTGGTTAGATGCAGGTTTGACATTTTGGAAAAAATACTTCAAAGGTATCTCTGTGTACTTCTGATTGCATCATGTTGGGGGAACACATTGTCTTTTCTTGTGATACTAAAACTAATCAGTGGGGGCTGGTATTTTACTTCAGCCTGATCTCCCCATTCTAGAAGTTAGCCTTTCATGCTATGCAGTTCTCAGCCCTGACTGCACATTAGAACATCTGTGTAGTCTTACACATTTCTCATGCTGTGGCCCTACTTTCAAGAATTGATCCAGGGTGGTTCTGGGCTCATCCAGAGTGGTTCTGGCTTTTTTTAAAGGAGTCCTAGGTGATTTTGATGCACAAGAGGACTGAGAACTATGGACCTAATAATTTGGGTAGTCGTTGAGGATCTTTGCCTAGAGATCCATTATTTCAGTAGGGGTTGTAAATAGTGATATTCTCATGCTTTCTGCATGTGTTAGCAGAATTTTATAAAAACTTTCATGAAGTCTTTGGCTCTTTTTTTAGTTTGTATAGGAAAGGTAGGATAAAAAATTGGATTCTTACCAGTTTTCTGAATAATGAGTTGAGTATCCACCATCCTACAAAGGTGACAAGTGAGTGTTAAGTATTGTTATCCATTCACAAATTTTAGCATATTTGATATTTCAAATCATTGCATTTATTGTTATTATTACTATTATTTTGATGCTCAAACTGTTTGACCTTTAGACAATGGAAGCCCTTGCAAGTTCTCCTGTCACTTTCTTGGCAACATCAGTAGTATGGATTTGATTGCTTCCTTGCTTATTATAAATGACATGTTTTAGGCTCATCTTTTACATCTGATAATTTAGTCATTCTGTGGCCTCTTCATCTTGTGCAATTCTTGTCTTGAACTTAGAATCAGCCATTTAATTGTCTAGCTATCTGTGTCCTCCTTTGGTGACATTCTGTTTAGTGGCTATGACAGGATTACAAAATGAAATGGCAGATATTTATAACAATAGTGAATTTCTAAACGGTAACTGGGAAAAAGCGTAATGATCATGTAACAAAAAAAATCCTTAATTGTTTTAATGATTAATCCTGCAGAGAATGTTGCATAAATCCTTGATCAACAATTTGTATTTTTTTTCTTTCCAGCTAATGTCTATCAGTGTGTTGGCAGTTTCTGCTTGGATGAGGGACTACCTAAATAATGTTCTGACTTTAACTGCAGAAACAAGGTAGGCTTTATAATTAATGACTGCTTTCTTTCATCAGGTTTCCTCAGACCCTAGTTTCTAAGTAACTTTGCCCTCAGCGGTTTAGATGATAGTGCTCTTCCACAATCCTTTGTCACAGACACTTGCATTTTCTAGCATTCTCTTTAAGGTATGCCACTTGTCCTAGGGAACATTTCTGGGTATGGTAACACCAGTTGCCTGTCCTGTGGACAGTGTGGCCGCCGCGTCATATTTGTGCGTAAAGGACAGCATAGCTACTTTTCTATAAGAAAATTACTGCCAGCCTTCTTACCTTCATATCTCTCAGCTAAGGAAACCAAACTCAGCATTGCCATTTTCTTCTCAAATTTCAAAAGGTTGATCCGCTAATATCACAGGGGCAAATTACTTTAACTTCTCCCAGCCTCCATTTCTTCATCTCTGAATGGGGACTCCACATGCATTCCTCTAAAATGTCTGGAGAATGAACTGAGGTGCATGTTTGTAAAATCATTAACACAGTGGAGCTTAGTAAACAGTAAGGGCTAATTTTTGTTGTTACTATTACTCTTACTAGTATGGTTCTAGTTAATGATTTTTTCACAGTTTTCCAACAGAAATCACCTCCCTTCCTCTTTCTTTTAATAGAGACCAATTTCCTTTTCACAGCAGTCTTTTGCATTTTGGGGGAGGATCGGTCGGCGGGCAGAAAAGGTGCTGGCCGGGTCAGAGAAGAGGAAGATTCCTGTTTCTTTCCCTCAGGCTAAGGCTTCAGAGCTAAGAGTGAATGGACTTCTTATTGGGGACCCCTATCTTATAAGAGATTTTAAATGAGTTGAGGTAGAAATGCTACCACTTGTATAAAAAACTAAACAAAACAAAACAAAAATAAGACAAGCAAGCAAATTGGTGATAGCGCAGTGACTTTGAAAAGAGCTACACAGTCATGAGCTTTGAGGCATGATGATTTAAAGGATTAGGAACATGAATCTCAGTTGTGTCTTGTACTGTGTCCTCGGTGCATTTTGGTTATGTTTTATGTATAATATGACATCATTGTTCTTTCAGGGTAGAGGAGGCTGTCATCTTGACTTATTTTCCTGTCGTCCATCCGGTCATGATTGCTGTTTGCTGTTTCCTTATCATTGTGGGGATGTTAGGCTACTGTGGAACAGTGAAAAGAAATCTGTTGCTTCTTGCATGGGTATGGTGTTTACATCTTCTTTTTATTATGGGTGAAAAGACCAACCAGTATTGTATTATTTTTTTCATCAGTGTACAAGATTACGTGCTTAGGGAACCGTGATAGCAGGTCTCTAATCTGTGGTAATTGTTCAACATCCTGTGAGAAGGGAAGCGTTCTTTCCATGAGAGATGATTTCAGCACAAGTATTTGTTGTCCTCAAATGAGGAGGGATGGAAATATGTACGCTATTTAATTATTTCACCCTGGTTATGTGTTGACATTTTCATTTGAAAGTGTAAGTTGTTGCCTTGTGTCATGGGCCCTTCGGGACTAGAACAAAGAAGTTATAACAGAACTCTTGTTCTCTCTCTCTCTTCCTTTTTAAACAAACCTGCCATAAAACCCATGTGGAAATTCAGGTGGTGAAATAGCAGATAGATATTCAAATCCCAGCACCACCTTTACATAGGGTAGCAGGTAGAAGTGAGTCTTGGTTTCCATAATCTTAGTGGTTTTTGTTGTGTTTTGTTTGGATTCTGAAAGAGTTGACCAGATTGCTTCTTAAATTCCCTTCAGCACTCACATTCTATGATTCTAAAATCTATGATTCAACTTCTAATTCAAAAATTAGGAAACTCTTAACATTAAAAATTTGAGTCAATTTAAATTACAGCTTATATATATACACATACATATGTGTGTGTGTATATATATATGTATTTGAAGCACATTGAGTGTATAAAATATTTCATGTTAGTGGCACCAGATAGTGAGGCTGCCACCATGTAATCGCAGACATCTCAGATTCCGGAAGAATTAATTCATTGGATATATTCCTTTCTTTGCAGTAGTGCTCAATGCTAGCTGTGCATTAATTTCTTGTAGGGAATGTAAACAAACATTTTAATGGGGTGCTAATATGCTGGATATCTGAGCAGGAAAAAATCCTGATTTGTAGCATTTGAAGCTTTCCGTGGGGTAAATACTTGCAGCATGGTTGATTTCCGGCTACCAAAGTGGGATCACTGAATGCAGAGTTGGGGAGAGATGCACACAAATTGGCTCTCAGGAGTGAGCTCCTGCACACCAGTGCTTGACTGGCTCCCATCCCAAACCAATTAAAACAGAATCTTAGTGTGAAGCTGAACTAAAGCTTTGAATTTCACAGGAACAACCTGTGCGAATGTATTAGTTGGCAAAATTTTTGGAGGATAAGTCTTGGCTTCATGGACTCTTGAGGTCCATGACTGGGAAACAGAAAGTGCTGCAGAAAATAAACCACACTCAGAGAAGGGGAGCATGCCCATGACCTTACTTCTTTCCATTTTGGTATACAGTGAGGAGAATGGCAGAAGGGTTTGGAGTCTTATTTTACAATTTAAGATATTTGGACAATAATTTAAACATAAACTCAAGGACTTATTTTATATGAAACTTATAGTTTAAAGGACAGAGAAGGTATTTTGAACTTAAAAAAATCTAAGAATCCTTTTTTTTCTTAATTTTATTTATTTATTTTAGAGAGAGAGGGGGAGAGGTTGAGAGCAGAGGGAGGGGCAGGGGGAGAGGGAGAGAATCCCAAGCAGACTCTGCACTCAGCACGGAGCCTGACTCAGGGCTTGATCCCATGACCCCGAGATCATGATTTGAGCCAGAACCAAGAGTCGGATGCTCAACCAACTGAGCCACCCAGGTGCCTGCTCTCAGAATCCTTTTTTAAAACCACAATCTTAGGGGCGCCTGGGTGGCTCAGTCGGTTAAGCGTCTGCCTTCGGCTCAGGTCATGATCCCAGGGTCCTGGGATCAAGCCCCACATCGGGCTCCCTGCTCAGCTGGGAGCCTGCTTCTCCCTCTCCCTCTGCCTGCCTCTCCCCCTGCTGTGCTCTCTCTCTCTGTCAAATAACTAAATAAAATCTTAAAAAACAAAACAAAACAAAAACCACAATCTTAGAATGCTGTCCCATTTACACAACAATTTGAGAATAACTATCTTCCCCCTGTCTCCAACTTGTGTGATTCTGGATGATCCCTGGACTATGGGTTTGGGTAGGGTGGGATATCATATTCCATGGACCTCAAAGACTTTTAGGAACACATTTTGAGAACCGTTTATGCATTCCATTAGGCTGCTTGAATGCTCGTAAAGCAAGGTGACGAAGAACCAAGTAATTTGGTCTCTGCTTGAGGCAGGAAGAGTCATAGATACCTGTGATGAAAGGCTACTTTATGAGGCTGGAAAGAACCTTATGATGCAAAGGTGACATGGGGGACTGAAACCATAATAATGACAAAGATGATGATGTTAAAGTAGTTTATATAAATAATTTTATATGAATTAATCAATTTTGTCTCCTTCACAATTCTAATGAGATAGATAATGTTATTCCCATAATATAGATGAGGAAATGAGGCACAGATTGGCTGATTTGCCTGAGTTAGCTAGTGAATGGAGAATATGCTATTCAAACTGTGGCAGTCCAGTACAATATATTTTTAACAGCTTCACTATTTTACTTTACAGTTGCTGCCTTTTCCTAAGTGCTTATAAATGTTTCTTACATTATATAAAACATTTTCCCTATGATCTTTCATTTCTTCAACCTGACAACAATCACCTAAGGTAGATAATTATAAATGAGATTCAGAGAGGTTCAGTAATTTGTCCAAAGTCACTCAGCAATAATGTGTGGAGCTTTGATTCAAACCTCAATGTTTCTGACTGCCAAACCCATTTTCACTGGGCCTTTACTGTCTCTAGTAGATGCTTCTCAACCTTTGAAGCCCAGCGCATTTCCCTAGTCATAAATTTTTTTTTATAACCAGCCCTAACTATCAGACTACACACAACTTGATAGTATGAACTATTCATCTTGCCTGTAGCTTTCATATATGTTTATCAAATCGAATAATGGACAGGACATTAGAACAGTGCGAGTAAGCAGCCAGCATCTCAGAGGGAAGATTGGAGCTAGGAAGGCATGAACAGAGTGATATTTTCAATGAGGAGACTGACCCACTAAACTGTAATTATACTGGAATCAAAGCAGATCTTCATTTTGGTACAAGAAATAAACTGCCATCCTCACCACCTTATCTTTGGATGTTATTTGAACACCAGGGTTGATTTCAAGCAGGTTTATTGTTTGAATTTATATTGAAATTGTTAAAACCCCATATGAAAATGATCATCTTTAAAAGAAATAAAATAAAATAAAAAAGGATAAGCCTGACTCTTAGATAGGGTTCCCCTTCAAGGGGAATGATTTCTTCCCCCCCCCCAAATTTTAATGTAAATTCTAGTTAGTTAACATATAGTGTAATATTGGTGTCAGGAGTAGAATTTAGTGATTCATTACTTATGTATAACACCCAGTTCTCATCATAAGTGCCGTCCTTAATCCCCACCATCCATTTAGCCCATCCCGCAGCCGCCTCCCTGCATCTACCCTTAGTTTGTTCTCTATCCTTAAGGGGAAATGGTTTCTTAAAGGAGCGGAGGGGCATAAATGCAAAATATGACAGGATGTTAGGTCTTTGGCAAATATTTGCAAGGCAACTCTCACGTTTTCTTCCTTTGTGCCCTTTAGCTTATTATCCTAATTAATATTTAAAGAAGTCCAATGCATTCAATCCAACTCATTCATTTTCCTGTAATAGAAGTCTTGTTTTACTTTTAAGACCTGTAAATGAGACTAGCAGGAAGAAGCTTTTTTTTTTTTTTTTTTAACACAACCAGTATCTCAAACAAAACAAAACAAAACAAAAAGACAACCAGTATCTCTGAGAGTTGCCATATCTTTTGAATGATTACCAAAAAAAAGAGCTGGCCTTTGGGCTATGGCACTGCTCAAGTAAAAGTGAGAACACCATTATTCATTGGATTGATCAAGAAAAAGTGGGAGACTCTCAAAACAGGTCTTTATAACCAACCTGCCCTCCCCTCACACCACTCCCCAAAAATACCAAAACTGGGTGGGCTAAGAGGCCACCCATAGGAAAACATTTCTGGTGAACTTTGGTCATGAACTTTGACCCTTCTATTGAATTATAGATGCAAGTTGTGAAAATACCTTAATTTAAGGTTCCCGTATAAGGTATCCATATTGGATGCAGGACATCCAATTAAATTTGGAATTCAGATAAGCAACAAATAATATTTTAGTAGAAGCATGTTCCATGCACTATTTGGGATATACATCTACAAAACGTTATATATCGTGTATCTGAAACTCAGATTTAAATGGGCATCCAGGAATTCTGTTTACTAAATCTAGCAACCCTACTGTAACTAGATTTGTTCTTAATAAATGTGAAATTGTCATAGAACAGAAACTTTTATGTATTTGTAAGAATATATTTTTTATATTTATAAGAGTAATTAAATCCTAATTATATTAGGAAAACAAGCCAAAAATGACTAGGAAAATAAACTTGAATATGCCATGACTTTCAAAGTGATTTTAGTAGCAGAAATTCCTTCTCTTTTTAAAAGAGAAACTGAAGCTAAATGGAAATTGGTTTTAAACCTTAGTTGGGTACTACTCTCAAGGCTTTTAGCTGTAGACTAAATGAAATTCATTTGTTATTGCAGTCCTACCTTGCTATTAACATAGGCATTAGGAAAGCAGTGCCGGCTCAGGGGAATGTAAACAGATTGAGCAGACATGTTTACAATATCGACAACAGCTGAATGTCACCATCAGGAGATCATCACTTGTCAGAGTGCGATGCTAATCTACATTCTACCTCCAGCAAACCACAGTTAGTCAAGTGCTGGTCAGGACTTACCTTGGAAGCACCTCACACATTTAAGACCAAGGACCTTGTGTTTCAAAGGGAAGGTGGTTTTTGTTTTTTTTTTTTTTCAGTTTTATTATTCCAGAACATTTACATATGGCTAGTGATTATATGGAAGCACTTGTAAAGCATTCTTAAAATATACTGTGATTGAATCAGATTTGAAATGATCTAATCTTAATGGAAATCGGGTAAATTTTTAATGGCCATGAGGAAATTAACTATCCTCGGTTCTTTTGTTGGTTGAAATCATCATGTAAAACCGGAATATCTTGAAATAGTAATTTTCTACAGGCTCTCTGTTTAAGGCCTTCTTTCAAGTGGTTATATATTTTATAATTATATAGCTAGTCATAACCAATTAAGTTAAAATTAAACTATTAAGTTAAATATCTTTATTATTTTCTGTTTATGATGTTGGCTGATAGCCTAGCAACTATGTTTCTCAACCAAGGTCCATCAAATTATTGACCGCATATTCAGCATCTGCTCGGTGTTTTGCCCTGTTGTCTCAGAAAATACAGCAGCTTGATATGGTTAGATTTATTTTACAGATGAGGGAAGGAAGGATGCCCAAAGATATACAGCCGCTAGTTGCCATCATTAGCATTCAAAAACAGTCCTTGCTCAGAGCCCATGAGTGTTTCACACCAAGCTACTATTACAATACGTTTAATTAATAATCAGCATTATTTCTGTAAGACTTAAATATAAGAGTAATTAATTTTTTAATTTATAAGTCCAAGGCATTCAGTAGTCAATTAATCTTTAAAAATATCATATTTTAATGTCCTTATCATGAAAGGAACTCTAAAAATTCTGCCATAGTTCCCTCTTCTTTTGTCAAAGAATCCAACCGTTTCTCCTTTCCTTTCTCCCCTTCTTCGCTCCTCATCCCTGTTTCTTTCCTTTTTCTCTCCTTAACCAGATATCGTGTACCCAGTCTGTGGTTGACACTGGAGATGCAAAGGTGAAAGGGGAGAATACAAAAAAAAAAAAAAGCGAAATACAGTATTAAAGTTATGAATAAATAAGTGTGGGAACACAGATTAAGGAGCGATTGGAGACTTCTGGCAGGTTTCGAAGGAAGGTCTTTATTTGAGCTACTTTGAAAAGATATTGAAAATGTGTCAGAGGTTTCTGGCGGAGAAGGGGAGGCAAGGGGCTTTAGAACAACATGAAGAGTGTGCAACGACACAGAGGAGTAAAGGAACATGGCAAGTTTAGGCAAAACTTAGAAATTCCGGGGGTTACGGTGTCAGTGCACAGTGAGAAGCACATGAAGGAGTCCACTTGTGAAGATCTTTGTAGGAGAGCGTCTGATGTTGTCCCTTGGGCTATGAAGAGCCAATGGGTTTTTCTAGCATTTAGGGCTGGAGATCTGGAGAAGCCCTGTTAGTGGTTACACAGTAGTCTTCAAGCCGTGGCTGGGGTCTGAACTACGACTTTGGGGACTGGATGGAAGGTGGCTGAATCCAGTAGACCTTGCTGAAATAGAATTATGGATACATTTAGTTGCACGTGATAGTAATATTTGTATTACTTGACATCAGGAAATGAGGTATTATTCTACGTTTATGCACTTTTCATATGATCGAAACACATCTCTTCAACACATGCAGATTATTGTGACATTTCAACTAGAATTCTTTAAAAGCTACCGTTTTCAAAGTTAGTTGTTAAACTCGCAAAAGGTTTCAGGCAGAGGACACTGAAGATGATGCAGGCATTTCTGGATCCAGAGGCTCGGTTTTCACAACTTGCTTTCGTATGTACAAAAGCCCAGGACAGAGTTCCGTGACCTCCTGTTTCCTCAGTCATGTTGGTTTGACTGACTCTAATTACGCCCCAGAAAAGCACATAAGCAGATGTCTTTAGAAGTCAATGTGTCTGAGATGGGGACCCTGGACAACTGGGTGATATTCAGGCCCTTAGCGTTGGGTCTTTGTGACAGGATTTTGAGTGCTTGTTGGACTCTTTGCTTACTTTGGGGTTTGAAGTGTGAATAGTTCAAGCGTTTATATTTCTGACCTGTGCATAATTTAGGTGTACTCTGTCATGGTAAACATTTTAAGCTTTGTTATCTGTTGTTTCTTAATATATACAGTTGAGATAGCTTTGGTTCAATATAAGCCATGTACATGTATATGCGTTAATTTGGTGAATGTCTTTGGTCTGCACAGAGTTTAAAGCAGGTGTCTGTATGTCAACACAAGCTACTGAGAGGTCTGTCCTAGCTGTGAGTGCTGGTGACTGGCGCAGCAAACCGGACCTCGGAGGCAAATTCAGGGTTGTGTGGTAGTTTTGCTTTGTCATCTGCTTCCACGTTGTCAGTCGGTTGACTTCCTTTGGCAAATGTAAAAGAGGAGACATTCATTTAAAATCCTATAGCTGTCTAGATGACTCGGGAAACAGTTCTCTAAAAGTTAACGGAGATAAGAGGGCAAGTGAATACAGGTAAAAGGTGAGAGAAGTGTCGTTTCAGCCAATGAGGAAAGTAGCTTTCAGATAAACTTCTTAGAAAAATGTTTAGTATTTACTTTATGTGCAGTGTCTCCTGAAGCCGATGACGAAATAATAGCTTATGAATTAAAGTTAAGGGCTTTTTCATGAAATTTCATAAATTTAAAACACTTTTTCAGGATTGTGATCTATATGCTTTTCCCTTTTATCAGATAAAATATCCCTTATAACCAGACAACGGGCCCTGGTTATGCGCTCAGATTAAAATGAATCTTCTCAGCTCACATGACAGAAACACCAATTTAAATTTTATTTGAAATGTATAAACATTGTTGTTGTATCACTTAGTATTTGTTGAGCAATATATTTGAGTTACTCTAAAATAAGTGATTATCCAAGAATTTTCTTCAGAGGGGGTGAATTGGGAGGCAGAGATAGACAGTGGCTTACAGAAGGGTCCCTGCGGGGGGAGAAGGTATTGGAGGCACTGAAAGGCTGGTGGAGAGAGCAATTGTGATAAGACTTGGAAGCTCCTGATGTGTTTGGAGAAGGGCATTTGTCAGTCACATGGTAAACATGTAGCAGATACGCGAGGCAGAGAGTTGGCTATGTAAGTGTTAGCCAAATTATAAAGAGTCTTGAATGTCATGCATACCTCCTCTGGAGCTGGAAGTTCTGTGAGCCTAAGAATCATGTGATCTATCTTTTCCTACTTAATGCTGGTAGCAGTGTCTGTTCTTGCTTGTTTCTGAGCCTTCTGCTCATTTACCTGGGAGAAAACAGCTACCTGGTTTAGCCACTCTGGGCTAAAGGAGCTTCACATTTAGAGAACCTTCTTGTTTGTTTGTTTTAAAGATTTTATTTATTTATTTATTTAGAGAGCACACACACAGCGGGGAGGGGGACAGAGGGAGAGAGAATCTCAAGCTGGACCCTATGCTGAGCTCAGAGCCCAACATGGGGCTCCATCTGAGGACTCTGAGATCACGACCTGAGCTGAAATCAAGAGTCAGATTCTTAACCGACTGAGCCACCCAGGCACCCCTTAGAAAACGTTTTTTTAATGATAGGAGAGAGAATGGAAGACATACTTTATTCTAACAGGGTGCCTTTACTGATGAAGAAATAAAGGCACTTAGGTGGGAAAGTCTATCTTATGTCTTAGAATTTTTTTTCAGATATATATTATAAAACAATTTCTGTTCATCTGGATGTGTTTAGTTCAGGGGTCATAGCAAAAATATGGTCATCGAGCTAAAGTAGGCACCAGGAAACTGGGTGCTGGGCTAAGGTGCCCTTGGGGAGACAAGCCAGGTTCAAGGACTCTTGGGGAAGGGTTAGAGCAGTAGTTCTTTGGAGTGCCGCAGCAATTTTCCAGCTTTGGGGGAAAAAAAGTTCCATAAACAACTGACTGGTATCAGAGGATTGTTGTAGAACTGCTTAACTTGTTCGAGAACAAACTTCTCAAGCGTGTGAAGCATTTACCCGCAGATAATGGATACACTCCCTTCAAATAATCGTTGGTCTGTTTATAAAAGCAGGTCTTAGAAGATCTCTACTTTTCAACACTGGTATAGCTCAAATATTTGTTGCAACAAGGGTGCATTTCTTTAAAATCGTTCTGTAATTTATGCTATTTAATTCAAATTAGTCCTTCTATCAATTAGACTGAGTTATTGATGTTTGAACAACTTTTGTGAGAGTTTAAAGATTTTATCATTACGCACACATGGTTTTCTTTCCCTGAACATTAAACATGACTGTGAATTGAGTTATGTTCATATACTTTCTTCTTTTAAGGAAAAAAATATATTTTTGGCTCAGGAAGAAAGTGTTTTTACTTGAATAGATTTATCAAAACAAGAAAAAAAAACACACACACACCTCTGTACTTGTAATAAATATTTGTATACGTGGATTTGTACAATTTAAAGGGAACCCTTTATTTTAATACTCTTTTTAACAATTAGGGTTTGTGGTTATTCTGGAGAATATAGAAAAATAAGTTAAAGTGCCTATCTTGTCTGAAAAAAGGTCAAATAATTAAAAGACTGTGATTTAGAAGAAGATACTTTCACAGACATCGTTACAGATAGGTTCAAAAGTTACTGGCTGATATTAAAGTATAAACTCTCTTTCCGCCCAATAAAACATCAGTCTTTTAAAATTTCCAATTTCCTAACCTGTTGTCTTAAAAAAATGTTGTCATAAAGGTGCCTGCAATAACGAGCTCCTGCCCCTCTTGTTTTGGGGAGGGATCTGGCCACATTTGGTTGGGTCTGAATGAGAAGCACAATCTGGATAAGAATTGAGTCTGGTGTTCTTTTGGCTATTGTTGCTTAGGATATTGCTAAGGCTTCTTCCTGTTTGCACCTCCCTGCCCAGGGTCTGGTGATGGGAAGCCCTGTCTCAAATTCTGAGGAACGGCCCCAGAATATGTAAAGAGAGCCCTAACTTCAGAGACCAGGAACACCCTGTAAATCTTTGGAGCTAAGGTTGAGCATGCGGGCTGGAGCTGACCTAGCTTACAAAGCAACAGAAGCTGTATATGTGGTAACCTGTCTATCATACTACCTGACTGCCTCAATTAATGCTTTACCTCCCATGATACAGATCGTTGACTCTGGGAACTCGAAGCCCTTGGCTAAGTCCCTCAGATTCTGGTGTAACACATTTCTCAAATAGTTTGAAGAGTGCATGAAGCAAATACGTACAAATTTGAGCTTCAGCAACATCTTTGATGAAGAAATTAGCTCAGCAATTACCGGTGTAAATGAAATTGAAAGGGAGCGTAAATTAAGAGAAGTTATTAGAAATACTCTTCTATATTTATTCAGTCAGAAGCATGAACAAAGGACCATAGCATGCCTGTATTTGTGTACCTTACCTTGAATTTCTGCATGGGCTCAGCAGTTACAAGACTGTGTTTCTTCAAAAATTGGTTTATAGTTCCCTCTTTTTCCTAAATTAGACTGACCTCATTCCATTTATGATTCTGAAAAGAAAGGATATTTAATGTTGCCTTTTCTTTGAAGAATTTGTAGAAAGACATAGGACACGGTGAATAATTAATTGGCCGTCGGAAAGTACCAAGCCTATGACATCGTTTGGAGACCAGGCTTAAACAGAGGCTTTGTGTGGGTATATATTTTAAGCAGCAAGTACTCTTGGACTGTTAGTAGTTTAGTTCCCGTGGATTCTTAACAGAATGTCAGCTGTTCCATTATCTTGTACAAATATTTGGCACTGGAATTCTCTTATTTACTAACTATAAGTAATATAATATTTTTAAACCTCCAATCACCAGGAAAGGAAAAATAAACAACTGACATAGAGATACTTAGCACTGAAAGCTTGCAGAGTTTAGTATTTGACAGGGTAGAGACTGGAGTTTATCATTTATCATTTCATGAATGCAGGCTTTTAATCAAACTTTTTGTTTATTAAAAGTGCTGAGTATGTGGCATGTAGATAGGAGTCAAAAGGCACCATGTTTTAAAAATATTAAATTGTCCAGTCAAGTACGTTATACTTTGAAATCGCTTTTATTTGGAGGGAGGTGAATCTCAGGTGGTACTAATTTTCCAAGATAAGCAAATCTGACTTTTTTGGTTTCAAATTATTTTGAATGTTACTTACGATAAAACGATCTGAGTTTCTAGTTATAAATTAAGAAAGTAGCAGGTTAAAATAACTTCCACAGTGTTTATAATTTTTACTTTACTCTCAGTGAAATATATTCTTACTGAAAGTGTTCTGTGATACTTGGTTGATTATCTGCTTGCACAGAGAAACTTAGGTAAAGGTGTTCAAGGAAAACATTATAATTTTGTTTTAATGTAAAAATTAATTTCCAGTTGGCATTTACATAGAAAAGCAGTTTGGAAAATAAGTGCCTGGTCTATTTGTGGTAGGTTGGATATAGGTTTTTTTGCTTCCTCTCTCTATAAAGCTGGATAGACTGAAGATAGAAGTTTTGTATTAATAGGATGTTTTCTATAAAAATGCTCTTAGTAATAAAAAATATTTTTCCTGTATTTCTCAACTGCTTATAAAATTTAATACTCTTCAACACTCAATACATTGGTTGGCTTTGTTAGGACAGATTGCTTTTATGTTTTTATTAGACTGATAAAAGTTAGAAATGAAAATTTAAAAATTAATCTATTTTTCCAAAAGTGAAAATTATTTGATATTTTATACAAAACAAATATTACTTTCTTAGAAATTTTATTATTATTGGTTATTAACAGTAAGGAATTAAAGGTGTAAAAAGAAAATAAATCACTTTCCCTTAGTAGAGCTTTTATGAGAGTTCCATTTAATGAACAGTTAAGCACTCATTGGCTACATGGCACTAGACTTCATTATAAAACTGTAAAATGAGAATAAGAAGAAAAACTAATTTTACACTGAGAAGAAGCTGATCTGACTAATATACGTTCAAAACATAAAAAGAAAAGATGCAATTTTTGATATAACTTGTCAAGGATTTTACATAGCAATTAAAACAGCATTTGTGTCTTTAACTAGCCATCATAGGTGGAAAGAAAAAGGACAGTTTTTTGCCATCCTTAAAATTTTGATATTATTGGCAGTCTTTTTTTTTTTTTTCCAACTAGGAAAGATCAAAGATGGGAACATAAGGTTCTAAGTCATTCCCCATTAGTTCAAAGGTAAGAAAGGTAAGAAGTTGGGGGTCTAGAGATGGTGGCTCATGAGGTATTGTGAACACCACCACCATCATCCCTCATAGAACACGAGCTATGTGCCGGCCACTGTTGTGTGTTTTACATGTATTGACTCATTAAATTCTGCCAACCAGACTATGGGGTTGGCACTGTTGTTATCCCCATTTTGCAGATGAGGACACTGGTATACAGAAAAGTTAAGTGGTTTGCCCCAACAATCAAGGGGTAAAGCTGGGATCTGAATCTAGGATGCTTGACTTCAGAACCTGTGCTCTGAAAGACTTAGTGGTCTGTTGCCTCTCAGTTGTGGATGAATATGCCTAGAGCTCCGTTTTCTCATTCTAAGAAATAGAGATAATGATGTTTCTGTAATATTTTTTTCAGGAGTGAATTATATAGTGCATGTAAATCTCTGGCACAATAAATTATTTGTGCATACATGTATGTGTGTGTGTATGCACTCACATACACATATTTGCATATTTAGTTATATAAGTATACTTGATTTTTTACATATTTTTAATACACTTTTTTTTTAAAGATTTTATTTATTTATTTGAGAGAGAGAGAATGAGAGA